TTACTCAAAACGGGGAGAATTTTTCATTTGCACTCATAATTAATGTGGTTTTATTAATTATTAAATATATGAAAGTGAACCTGGCTGAGACTGTGATACACCTAGGTGACCAGTGAATGTCAGCTAGCTGCAGTTATTTGTTTTACTCATAGCAATATCCCTTCTGAGACTTGTTTCATATTTTTTGTATTTATTTACTTTTTCCCACCAGATAAAGCTTTCTGGAGGCCAAGACCTTGTCTTATTACTTAGTGTTTTTGTTTTACCTTCTACAAAAGAACTTACTCATACATTGAATTGAATTGTGGAGCCAGCTAAGTGTGTCCCTACCAGCTCTGATTTCAAAGACGTAGGACTGTTCCAGCATTGGGAATTGGAGCACAGGTATCCAACCTGAGAGGCCAAGGAGGGGAAACACAAGACTGCTGTTCTACTGTGTTGTCAGACGATTCTAGCTAAAAACATTCATATTAGACATTCTGATGAGATCTGTTTCTCTGAAGCTAATGGCGGCTACAGCTTCTAAAATGCCTAACAATCTTGTAAATAGAACTTTATATGTGAATAGTTAAGAACTCTTACTGATGACATGATCTCCTGGGGAGGGAGGAATTTAGAATTTGAGTCTGGTTAACAGGGTAGCCCTGGAAAGCGCAGCAGGGCACAGCTCTCTGGAACAGCTTCTCCTTTCTGGAAAACTAGAATTCGGAAGCTGTAGGGGGATGGCAAGGACCAAAATAGTAAAGCCTAGTACAATCAGATTAGGATAACATTGGCAGATTAATAGTGAGTCATTTGGACACAACCTGTTCTCAGGTTAAACGTTTTCTTGTCGCAGAGTTTTATTTATCTCATATTGACTTGGATAGTTGTGGATAACTAAGATAGAAGGGCATATTACTGGGGACAACTTTATTATCATTGACCTTTTAAAATGCTCTGTAGAACAAAATTAGGTGTTCCATGAGATTAAATTCAGTCATTTCTCTCAGCACAGTATAGAGGAATGTAAATTGAACATCAGCTGAACTGCTTAGGAGGTGAATGGTCTGTAATATATTTGTAATGACCAGAGCTCATCATAAAGCTGTTTCGTCCTCATCCATAAATTGTTTGGACACATTTTACTAGGTACTTACCTACCCTGGCTTGATTATCCTTGGTCTGTGATCATTCCTTGCAAAAATTCCATTTTTTTCTTTTCTTTCTTGTTTTTTACACTGAATAGCATAAGGAATTTTAATTTAGCAGTATTTTAAGAATTAGACTGAGGTCTGATGCCATCATATTGAAAACAGTATTCAAAACCTGAAGGAGCAGGGATAAGTACCTCTTTGAATAGAATTTTATTTTATTTATTTTTTTTAAGATTTTATTTATTTGAGAGAGAGAGAGAGTGAGAGCATGAGCAGGGCGGAGGGGGAGGGAGAAGCAGACTCCCCACCGAGCAGGGAGCCCAGTGCTGGGCTCAATCCCAGGACCTTGGATCATGACCTGAGCCAAGGGCACATGCTTAACTGACTGAGCCACTCAGGCATCCCCTGAATGAAATTTTAAAGGGAGGAGTCCTTAAAGATCATTCAGTTTGTTCCTCTGTTCATTGGCTTGTTCATTCATCTATTCAACAAATATTTGAGTGTTCATATACTTTTCTCTTGGTATTCCTTTCCCCTACTGGTAATAACCCCTCAATTTAGTATCTCAAACCTGAACTGTTAAGAGCTGCACTGTTCAGTACAGTAGCTGCTAGCCCTGTGTTGCTATTTAAATTAACATTCATTAAAATGAAATAAAATTAAAAATTCAGTTCCTCAGCCACACTAGCCACCTTTCAAGTGCTCAGTCAAGAGCTCGCTGCGGCTGGAGGCTGCCATTTTGGATGGTGTTCATCCACAAAACACATCCATCATTGCTGGACAGAGCTGCCTTAGTGGTTCTGGCTCTGTCTTCTGAGAGACATCCTAGCATCCCATCCACTTCATCACCCAACACCTATGTCTGTCAGGTTTGTTCCCTTTAAAAAATTCTCCCGTCTTATTTTAGGTCGTCATCATCTGTAATATATTTGTAATATATACAAATATATGTTGTTACCAGGGCTGTGATGTCTTTCCTGCCACCCCCTCCCCTCGGTGGCTCCCCTCCCTCCCTTGTGCACTCTTAATACCATGTATACACCTTTATCACACTGCATACTAATTCCTTGTTTGTACAGTTTTCTTCTGGTGGACCAAGAGGTTGTTGGGGTTGAAGGACTGGGCCTTGATCTTCCAGGGTGAGGACACACACAGTGCCTGACACATTACTGCAATAAGTAAGTGTCTGTTGAGCAGCTAGAGAGCTGAATGGATGGGGGGAGGAGCCCGTACTAGGTTGCATTCTGAAGGCTAGGCACAGTTGGGATGCGTGGAAGCGAGAAGAAGGCGGTCATGCTGGGGGAGCATCACGGATGCAGGCCCGTGGTAGGAAATGACAGGGCAATTGTGCTCTTAGACCACGGCCACGGAGAAGCATTTTCAGCACCACCCAGAGCTTAGCCATGGGACATAAATAGAATTTCAGTTCTGGTGTTGCATTTAAATGTGTTTCCCTGACCCCTCTAAGTAGAAGTATTGGGTTTCGCACTTAATAACCTTAAACTGTAGCTTCCAAGGAGTTAAAGATATGTTCTACCCTGTAAAATTAAGCAGCACACTCACAAAGTCTAGTTGATTCTTCGAGACTTTGATGGTTCCCGACTTAAGTAAGACATGGTAGCGGCAGAGCAGGAAAGAAAAATGTGTGTGTACGTGTGCAGAAGGAGGCTGTCTAATACTGCCATTCAGAAGAGTGACTGCAGCCAGACCCACCGGTCCTGACCCTGCTTCTTCCAAGCTGTGTCATCCTGGACGTGTCACCGGCTGGGCCTCGGTTTCCTCATTTTTTGATGGAGACAGATATTACCTGCGTTGTGCGGATTAAGTTAAAATGTATGTGACATGTGAGCACTGTGCTTAATCCTGAGTAAAGCATTCACCAAGTGATAGCTATTGACAAATTAACAGTACGTAGCGTTTCGGGCAAATGGGAAAACTCATAGTGTATTTCCCAAAGGAAGAATTAACACATGATTGCTAAACACAAATGGTCATCCAGAAAACACACACATCAGACCCTTTCCTTCACAGTTAGCTAGACAGAAGCATCTCTAACGTGAAATGTAGAGTGCTAGGTACTTCATGCAAATAAGGTGATCTGATAGAGGTAAAATTTGACCTGGATAATCAAAAACCTAGGGCTAATTCTCTGTGTTTGGAAATAAGGTGATCACTAATGCAAATTACTTAGGAAAACTCACTTTTCTTTTACTCTGCATAATCAAGAGCTTGCTGTACAGCTGCTCCTAAGGAAGGGGAAGAAAATTATGTGCTGCTTTTAATTTTAAATAAGCAAACTAGTGGGATGTGTATAAATTAGAGGATCATTGAATGATCTGTTTTTTTCCCTACTTTCCAAATGGTAGTGACAGTCCTAACTGTGTAGGTTCTCATCCACCGGCCTACATATAATTCATGCATATGCAGAGAATCCTCTTCAGTAGACTCAAAGTTGCTTTCCCATTCGGAAATTGCACACTCCTCCTTTCCCCGTGCCTGCATGGCCTTTGCCTGGCCTCATTCCTCCCCACTCCTTGTCCTCTGAGACTGTTTGATATATCCCATTCCACCGCCTCGCTCTTGCTCTCATACAGCTACCTTATTGTATTGTAATTATTGACAGGCATTGGTCACCATCACAGGACTGTGAGTTCTCTGATGAGCAGGCATTTTCTTACTCATTTTTGTGTCTACATTGTTGCCTTACAGTGGGGGGACTTATTCATACAAGATGCTTGGTAAACTTTTGCTGAATTAATGAATGATATTCACCAAATTTTTCTTCTGCATATTCTTCCTAAATAAACCATAACTCTGTTTGGGTAGGAAATTCTGTCATACTTTCTGGTACTGCTTAGCTCCAGAGCATTGATAAACAATATCAGATTGCTCTACAGTCTTGCTGTTACGAATATCAGTTATTCTGGAAACACTTTCTAGGGTAGATTCAGCAAGTATTAAATCTTTGTTACTGTTTTATCCACATATGTTCTATCAAAGTATTTATAAAGGGATCACCAAGATTTTTATTGAATTTAAATAGATTTTTAAAAAGATTTATTTGTTTGTTGGGGTGGGCGTAGGGTAGGGGGAGAGGGAAAGAGAGTCTGAAGCAGACTCTGAGTGGAGTTCAGAGCCTCATATGGGGCTCGATCTGAAGACCCTGAGATCATGGACCTGAGCTGAAACCAAGAGTCCACGCTCAACCGACTGCACCACCTGTATTTAAATTCAGGTGCCGCTGAATTTTTTTTTTTTTTAAAGATTTTTATTTATTTATTCATGAGAGACAGAGAGAGAGAGAGGCAGAGGGAGAAGCAGGCTCCCAAGGAGCAGAGAGCCCGATGCGGGACTCGATCCCAGGACCCTGGGATCATGACCTGAGCCGAAGGCAGACGCTTAACCATCTGAGCCACCCAGGCGCCCCAAGGTGCCACTGAATTTAATATTTTTGTATGAAAAACTGATACAGAAGCTCTTGTCTGATAGAGTTCTTGTGTGAATCATCAATGTTCAGTTCATTGTGGGCAGTAATAAAACCTTAAATGTATGTGTGTTGAATCTATGAACTGAGCAGTTCAGTTGAATATACCTGTAATATACTTGGCTTTTTGTTTTTCTGCCCCTTAGCTATTTACTGTGATTTCTTGATGTTAATTTCAGGGCTTATTCCAGGATAGGGAGTTGGAATTATACAGGAATTCACATACCTTATTAGCTCCTTGCTTAAACTAATTAAAAAAACTAGTTCTGGGACTGGACCTCCCTTGATGAAATTGTTGAAATGTGAAATTTGAATTTAGGACTTTCTTGAAGACTTGAATGCATTTTACTTACTGTTATTTAAATTTTTTTTTTTTTCAGTTTTAATTTTGACTGCTGTACTATTGACATCTGAGCCAAAGTGGTGATGCTACCTGAGGGGAATTTCTGCAACCCGTAAGTCAACAGTTATACGGTAAGAATGTGTGCCTCTTACCTTTAAAGCCATTTAATTTCTGTAACATTATAGTTCAGAATTCTAATTTGAAATAGAATACTATAAAATATTCTAATATTTCAAAATATTACATATTAATATATTTTAATATGTAAATATTAACAGCAGATAATATTTTAGAGCTTTAGATCCTAATCAACAGTTCAAGAATTTGAAAGAGAAAAAATATAACTTGATATATTAATTTCATATTAATTTTTGTGTGAAAAACAAATATGGCTGTATAGTTTATGTCTTATTAAACTGGGGTCTAATTTTTCCTTCCTACATATTTTGCCCATTTACTTTTTATTTCTTGGGGTTTAACTGGTTCTTTATTATCTGATTTTTGTTAATAATGAATGGATATGAGCAGTCAAGATGATAAAACTTAAGCCTAGGTGGATTTTACTACAACTTACTCTGAACTGAGGTGGTGTTGATTCCAACAGTGGCTGAAATGAGGTTTTGAATTATTTAGAGATTTAAATTATGTATATTGCTTTATCTTCAAGGAATAATTCAAGAGTAATGAGACATGGCCAAACCAGTAAGGCGAGTTACTCCTTTGAGCTTCATTTTCCTTGTACAAAATGTCTATCATTTGTTTTATAGAGTTGTAAAAATCAAATGAGATGATCTATGTGAAATTGTCTTTCTCTTCCTTTTATTTATTTTTTTGGAAGGGTAGAAGGGAAAATGACAAGTCTCTTGATTTTAAGGTGGGCTTTAGAGAGAACATAATGCTCTTAATATCCTTTAGAGGAAAGGATGCTAGATAACTTGATCTTTAGTTCTGTCTCACCTTGGCTGTGGGCAAATCATTCCATTAATTTACTATCAGGAAATTGAATTTGATTTTCATACTTTCACTTTACAGGTAATTTTTCAGGAATATGTCTGTATTTTTTGACTATAATGAAACTAAGCTAGAAATCATTATCAGATTATCTGTGAAATCTCCAAATATTTTGAAATTAAATACCACATTCTAAAAGTCCCATGGGTCAGAGAAGAAGTCACAAGGGAAATTAGAAAATATTTTGAATTGAATGAAAATGAAAATACAACATATCCAAATTTAAGGGATGCACCTAAAGCAGTACTTCCGGGGGAGATTTATAATGTTAAATGATTATAATAGGAAATAGAAGTTTTGAAACAATAATCTAAACCTTCACCTTAAGAAATTAGAGGGCAAAGAGCAAATTAAACCCAGAATAAGCAGAGAAGGAGTTACCAAAGATATGAGCAGAAATCATTGAAATAGAAAACAGAAAAACTGTAGGAAAAAAAATCAGTGATTGGTTAGCTGAGTTTCTTTAATGAGATCAATAAAATTGATCAACCTGTATTTACACTAATCAGGAAAAAAAGGAAAAGGCAAAAATTTTTAGTATCAGAAAAGAGACACCATCAGTATAGATTCTACAAAAGGTTAACTTAAAGGGAATATTATGATAACTTAGATAAATGGACAGATTTCATCAAAGTCACAAGGTATTTAATTTGATTTCCATGCTTTCACTTTACAGGTATTTTTTCAGGAATACGTCTGTTTTTTGACTATAATGAAACTAAGCTAGAAATCAGTATCAGATTATATGTGAAATCTCCAAATATTTTGAAATTAAACATCACATTCTAAAAATCCTTTTAGAAGGAGTGGATAACATGCATAGCTCTTTATTCAAGAAATTGAATTTGTAGTTAAACACCCTCTCCCCCCAAAAACCTCTAAGCCCAAATGGACTCACTGGTGAATTCTACCAACTTACTAAGAAAGAAATAAAACCAATTATATATAAAATCTTCAGAAAATAGAAGGAAGAGAACACTAATTTATTTTAGGAGGCCATTATTACTCTAATATTAAAAAAAAAAAGGTATTTCTCAACAAAATACTAGCAACCTGAATAAAGTTTATATAAAAAGTATAATACATCATACTAAAGTGCCATTTATTCCAGAAATGCAGGATTGTTTCTTCATTTGAAGATCAGTCGTATAATTCACAATATGAACAAACTACACAGAATTCTTCAAACCTGTATGATCATCTCAATAGGCTTATTAGAAAGAGCATTTAACAGTATTCATCATTTATTCATGATAACTCAGAAAAGTAGGAGCTTTCTCAACTTGATAAGAGGTATCTATGAAAGACCTACAGCTAGTAATTGTAATTATTGGTGGAAGAGTTAATGTTTTTGCCTAACATTGGGAATAAGGAAGGATGGTCACTCACTGTTCTTACTCAGAATTGTCCTAGTCAGTGCAGTAAAGCAAAAAAGGAAATACAAGGCATATAGATACAGAAGGAAGAAAAATTAAAGTCCCATGGCAAGGGACCTGAGAAATGAGCTTTTTAGCCTTCTAGTCTCTGTGATATAGGGAAGAAGACAGTGGAGGTGGGAATAAATGTTGAATGCCTGTAGACAGTATCTACTACATTTGGGTTTCTGTGGTTATGATCTGAAAATCGTAGAGCAAGGCCACATGTATATGACTTGTGGGTTTCAGTTACTGTTTTCTCTGAAGTTAAAAGTCAGCATAATCTCTTGGGAGAGTCTTAGTTCAGCATTTCTTCTTTCTGCTAATATAACCAGAAAGCTTTGTGTAGTACTTAAAAGTTATGCATTGGTTTAAACTTCATTAAATAGCTCTTGTTTTTTGATTTAAAGAAAAAGGCTATTTGAAACAATGCTAAGATGTCCTTTTAAATTCTAAGAGGGCATACAAAATTACTTGTTAAATCTGTTACAACTATCATATATCTTTGGATGAGTTAAAATTATTTCATATGCTTGTTTGTATCTTAGAATACATTGACATGTTTTGTATAATAATGTAAGCCGCATATTATGCCTGTTGATTTCTGCTAAATAATTTCCATACACACATTTTTATGATGTTTGGCGGGTAAGAATTGAGGAAACCCTGAGTCCTTGTCCTAGTTGCATGGTATAGTTGTATGGCAAGATAGTGTTTCTCCAGATGGTGTTACTGGAATCATACCTAAGTCTCTTGCAGTCAAATAGTTTCTCAGCCTCAGTGGAATGCTTACAAATGTAAACAAATATACAGTTTAATAGTTGTGTGCATTTCTGTTTTAATTGCATTTGACCCTTAAACAGTGCAGCGGTTAGGAGCTCTGACCCCCACACAGTCAAATCCACTTACAACATTTGACTCCCCCAAACTTAACTACTGATAGCCTTGACTAGAGGCCTTACCAATAATACAAACAGTCGATTAACACATATTTTGTATGTTATATGTAATGTATACTGTATTCTTACAGTAAAGTAAGTTAGAGAAAAGAAGATGTTACTAAGAAAACCATAAGGAAGAGAAAATACATTTACAATACTGTACTGTATTAATTGAAAAAAATCCACTTGTAAGTGGACCTGTGCAGTTTGAACCCATGTTGTTCCAGGGTTAGCTGTACATGTTATTGACCATACTAGTTGATGCTAGATACTAGGTATGGCAGAGTAGTGGTACAGTAGGGGGAGCGTAAGTTTAGTAGTTAACAGAAAATCTTGGGTTCAAATGCTAAAAACATACAGGCTTAAGCTTTTGAGCAAAATCACTTAAATTCTTGATCCTCATTTCCCTCATCTCCAAAAGGAGGATAATCTTGACGAACTGCTGAAAACATTAAAAATAATACTCAGAGCTTCTAGCAGACAGTGGTGATGCTAGCAGCCCAAATGGTGATGCTAATAGAGGATCTTAGTTGCAGAAATGTTGTAAGACTCTAGTATCTGACAGAGCTGGTTTTGAATTGCGTTGGAAGAATTAATATTTTTAAAATATCTATACTACATAAAGCAATCTACAGATTCAGGGCAAACCCTGTCAAGATTCCAATGGTATTTTTCACAGAAATAGAACCTAATTTTAAAATTTGTATGGAACCAGAAAAGATCCTGTCTGGATAGCCAAAGCAATCTTGAGAAAGAACAAAGCCAGAGGCATCATGCCCTCTGATTTCAAACTATATTACAAAGCGGTAGTAATTAAAACATCATGGTCTTAGTGTAAAAGCAGACACATAGATCAGTGGAATAGAATAGAGAGCCCAGAAATAAATCCATGCATATAAGTTTATGACAGAGCAGCTAAGAATATACAATGGGACAGTTTCTTCAATAAATGGTGTTGGGAAAGCTGGACAGCTACATGCAAAAGAATGAAACTGGACCACTACCTCTACAGCATACACAAAAATTCACTCAAAATGGATTAAAGACTTGAATATAAGACCTGAATCCATAAAAGTTCTACAAGAAAGTATAGGTGGTCTGGGCGATGATGTTTTGGATCTGAATTCCAAAAGCAAGGGCAACAAAAGCAAAAATAAACAAGTGGGACTACATCAAAGTAAAAAGCTTCTGCACAGCAAAGGATATCATCAGCAAAATGAAAAGGCATTTTCTGAAGGGGAGAAAATATTTGCAACTCATATCTCTGATAAGGAGTTAATATCCAGATATGTAAAAAACTCATACAACTCAATAGCAAGAAAAATCTGATTAAAAAGGGGCAGAAAATCTGAAAAGATATTTTTTCAAAGAAGACATTGGATGGGCAGCAGGTACATAAAAAGATGCTCAATATCACTGATCATCAGGGAAATGCAATCAAAACCACAATGAGATATCCCCTCACACCTATTAGAATGGCTATTATCAAAAAGACAGTAAGTGTTGGTGACAATATAGAAAAGATGCACTGTTGGTGGGAATGTAAATTGGGGCAGCCGCTGTGGAAAACAGTATGGAGTTCCTCCAAAAGTTACAAGTAGAACTGCCATATGATTCAGCAGTTCCACTTCTGGGTATTTATCCAAGGAAAACAAAAACACTAATTAGAAAGGTTATCTGTACCTCCATGTTCATTGCAGCATTATTTTCAATAGCCAAGATACACAAACAGCTTAAGTGTCCATCAATGGATAAATGGATAAA